TTCTTTCTTTCTTTCTTTTCTATGTGTGTTTGTGTTTACCGTATTGTGAATGTCCACTGAAATTTATTACACCAACAACATGGCTTTTGCTGTTGCTTTATCCTTGTTTGTAGCGACAGGATCAAGAACATGCAATACGAGATTACTATGACATTTCCCTCGTTATTTATCTTGTGATGTTATTTTTGTCATCTTTTTTGTTATTGGTGTTCATTTGTTTTTGTTTTTGAGTGTGTTATTTTCAAGTTCTTATATATATATTTTTTTATTCTTATGTTTTTGGTAGTTTTTATTCAATTTTTATTATTTATCTCATTTGTGTTTTTTTTTGTTTATATTATTATCATTATATAACGTTAATCATTTTAACTCGTATTTCCCTTTTTTTCTTCCCAGCGGATTTATCGAATTTAATTATCTCCTCTTTTCTTCCATGCAAAGTTTACCACGTTGATATTTTTCCTTTATTAAAACTCCTCTTTCCTGTCCACGCAAAGTTAAACCGTATTAATTTTTCCCCTTTCTTTCGTTTGCAGTTTATCGATTTAATTATTCCTCTTTTCTTCCGTACATTACCACATTAATTTCTTTCCCTTTCATTAACTTCCTCTTTTCATTTACGCAAAGTTCACCGTATTATTATTTTTTTCCCCGCAAAGTTCACGCGTATTAATTTTTCTCCCCTTCTTTCGTTGCAGATTTATCGAAGAACAGATTTAGCGAGCTGCCGCCGGAGGTGACGGAGTACACGTCCCTCGAGCAGCTCAACCTCTACCAGAATGTGATCAAGCATCTGCCAGAGTCTGTGATAAACCTTCAGTCGCTGACGCACCTCAACCTCAGGTGAGTGGGGGGGCTCTTCTCTCTTTTGTTTATTTTTATTGATTGATTTATTTATTGATTTGTTTATTTAAGGGGGGGTAGGGTATTTTGGTTTGTTTTTCTTTTGGGGGGATTTTTTTTTTTTGTAGGATTTTTTTTGGGGGGGTTGAGGGTTATTCTATTTGTTTTATTTTATTGATTTGTTTATTTATAGGGTAAAGGTTGTTTGGATTTTGCTTATTTGTGATGGTTGTGTCTTTTTTTCGCTTTGGTTTTGTCTTGTTTTCCTTGTTGATTTTCTTGTTTCTTCCGCTTCGGTTTCGTCTCTTTCTCTCTCTCTTCTCTCTCTCTCTCTCTCTCTCTTCTCTCTCTGCTCTCTCTCTCTTCTCTCTTCTCTCTCTCTCTCTCTCTCTCTCTCTCTCTCTCTCTCTCTCTCTCTCCCTTCTCCCTCCCTCTCCCTCCTCTCTCTCTCTATCTTCTCTGTCTCTATTTTCTCTCTATTCTCTCTCTATTCTCTCTCGTGCTCTCTATTCTCTCTCTATTCTTCTCTATTCCTCTCTATTCTCTCTTATTCTCCTTATTCTAATTTCCATCTCTTAAATATATCGTGTATACGTCGTGATCTCGGATAGTCTTCTCATTCTCTCCTCTATATAAGTTCAACTCAATACTCTCGCTCTATAACTTCTGCTCTCCTCTTGCCCCCGCGGTGGTCGCAGTATCTGTGATTCCTCTCACTGTACACAGCTCTCTCTCTCTGGAACATTCCCATCGGTGCAACTGCGATAAATCTACTCTCCTTGTGCGTATACAAGTATCTTTGCTTTCTGTATACTCCAATTCTCTCTAACACTACTCTTCGTTCTTCTTCGTCATCTCTCGTGAATTAATCTCCTCGCTCTCGCGTACTCTGTGCCTCTCTCCTCCCTGCTCTGCTTCTCACGTGGCGTACTCGTCGGCTCACTCACTCTTGTGGGCTGTCTAGGGTGTATCGAGATGTGCTCTCTCGGTGGTGCTCTCGGTGATCATGTCGCGTTTGATGTCGTCTGTGGCTGGTGACGTGCGTCTGCTTATACTCGTCTCTCTCTACATGACGTTCGTCTTGGCAATACTCATGCATCGCAGGGTATGGGTGTACGTGCTCTATTAGCTGGCTCTCCAGTCTCGCAGCTCCCGCTGTCTGTTCCAGGAACGTAGAGAGAGAAATACAACGGTGCCTCTCAGTATCGTGACTCCCTACGATACTCGATCGCTATTTGAGCTCGTACGACGTGGTGTCATTCTAAGTGTGTCTGCTGTGCAGTTGATTGCGACGTGCCATAGGCTATTTCATCTCTCTATTCGTCTATAATCTCGTCGCAGCATGCTCTCTCTCTCTGGTATACAGTATGCAGCGGATCTCTGTCTCTACGTGCTCCTGCTCTCTACATAGCTGCGTCTGTGCTCTCGTCTCTCTCATTCTCTCTCTCTCCCTATGATATGCATCTGTTTGATCGTTCAAGTGCGTGCGATCTCTCGTAGCTCCTCTGGGTCTCTCTCATCTCTCAAGGCTCGACTCACTCCTGTAGTGGGAGTGTCAGTCAATGTGGGCATCCCGCCCTCCCTCATCTTTTGATGTATCTAGTGCTTGCGTTTTGTTGTTATTAGTGATAAGTAACTGTTTCCTTGTTCTTAGATTCATGATTAATTTATATTCGTTCGTATCCGCTGCGTTTCCTTTTCTTTTTTTCCATTATGTGATGTAGTGATTGTGGTCGTTATTTTTTGTTTGTCTATTTTATACAATATTTCGGATTTTTTAGGTATTGATTTCTCAAGATTTGTGTTGAGGCTCGGGAATTCTGAATGTCTCTCCTTCGCTGTTGATGTGCTGGTTCGCTTTTCCGGCTGTGTCGTCGCACAGGCCGGATGCGTGGGCAGCGTCGTATGGTGCACTGGCACATGCAGCAGATGGGGCCGAGAGCATGAAATTGCTTATCGCGCCTGTTCTGTCGGGTGCGCGGTGCTAAGGAGACTGAGTGCATTTAAGAGTGGAGGAGAGGGCGAGAGGGGAGACTGAGACTGGGTGTGTGTTCGCTGTGTTGAGTGTTGGGAGTTGACTTTTGTAGTGTTGCTTGTTGTCTGTCAGATTGTGTGTGTTTTTTTGTATTTTATCATCGTCGTCAGGTCGTCATCATTTCTCAATGACACTTTACCTATGGATAGTTTGAATATTACCATCATCCTTGCAGTCTTCATCCAAATACGCCATATAGCAAACTCTCTAATTCCATCGGAATCTCCATATCATCATCATCAACCATCGTCTGTGCTAACTCATCATCACACACGCATACCATCATAATTCATCTCAATCAAATTACATCGAAAATCATCATTCGATGTCTCATAACATTTCTGATGAATTAATTCACCATATATCCATTCATCATCATCATCATCATCATCACCATCGTTCAATATGTGCATACCAATCACCATACAATTATCTAAAAGTCGACACATCTATCACCATCGTCATCATCATCAATCCACTCATCAGCCCATCATTTACTCATCTAATGCTATCTATCACCTACTCTCACCTACACCACCCACCATAAACACACCCACTACACAAAGAATTACCATCACTATACATTTGCAAAATCCGGGGCTTGTGACAGGTCTTTTTGAGGTCTACCTTTAATATCTCGAATTGAGAATTGTGAGACAAAAATAAACTGACTCAGGACTATTATGATTGTTCACTGGACATACAACCGTATATATATTAAGTTGAAAGTTCCGTGCTGTAGCATGCTCGCTTAACATTAATACATGATGTTAATTGTCACATAACAAGCACCGAACGAACATAGAGACGACTGAATCGACCTAGTATGATTGACATCACATCAAACAATCGCCTGTACTACACACACACAGCGGAGGAACGATACCCAGCATCGTAGCCAATACGCCTACATTAAAACTAAGCGACAGATTAAAGAGCTAAAGTCATGGATACAATTCTTTCCTCTTTACTCGTTCATAGCGACCTTACAACACTCAACATATAATTATCGTCTCTTCTTCTTCTTCTTCTTCTATAATGCTAATTCTAAGTATCTTTGTCGCTCCTCGAGCGACCTTATTCCTCCTTCCGTCACGCGATTTAAAAAAATCTAATTCATTTTTATATTCTCGAAAGGCTCAGTGATGTTGCCCATCCTCCTCTTCTGTCTTTTTTTTGATCTTCGCTTCTCCATATATCACCTCTAGTCGCTGTCTGACCTCATGCTACTCTGTTCGGTTAAGTATTACTTTGCTTTTCATGAATCTTCTTGTTCTTCTGCTATATTCTGTTATCCACTCTGTGGTACATTGTCGTGTACACTTTACTGTCACTCGTTTTTCTCTTTGAGGTTGCCTGTCTGTTTCAACTTCATTTTACTGCATGTTGTCGTGTTTTAGATTGTTTTTTAGAATTATATTACTTCGTTTTGATTTTCGTGTAATCGTTTTTTTTTGTTTTTTCTCTTTTTATCCTTGATGGAAGTTTCCTTGCACTATAAATAAGTTCTTTTTTGGGCTTCAATTCCCGAGTACAGAGACCTGTGGCGTGTTATTGGTGCCCCGCAGTAAATGACCTTTTTGCTCTTCACTCCCATGCCGGTTCCCTCTTGCCCTTCTTTGTGGTATAGCAGAAAATTGCCCATAATCAAGCAGTCAATCAGCTAATCAACCAATCAATCAGTAACGCTTCTTTTGCGATCGGAACCAGCTATCTTTGCCCCGAGAATAAGCTATGTTGTTGCAATTTCCCCCGCCCTATTCTTTCAGACAGAACCAGCTGTCTTTGCCCCGAGAGTGAGCCATCTTGTTGCTATTTCCCCCGTCCTCCTCTTTCAGTCAGAACCAGCTGTCTAAGCCATCTTTGCTTTATTCTCGTCGTTGTTAATTCTCTCCCCACTCTCTTCATTCAGCCAAAAACCAGCTGTCCAAGCCATCTTAACGTTATTCTCCTCGTTGTTAATTCCCTCCCCACTCTCCTTTTACAGTCGGAACCAGCTGTCTGTGGTTCCGAGTTGCGTGTGCCGTCTGACGTCGCTGAGGGTCCTGGACCTATCGGGGAACCGCCTGGTGAGCCTCCCCGAGGAAGTGGGCAACCTGTACAACCTCCTCGATGATCCTCAACCAGCTGGCGCACCTCCGCCTCCTGCCCTCGGGGAGCTGGATATGCTCCGCAGGCTCAACCTCCGCAGGAACCTCCTACAGACCATCCCTTCAGGTGGGTGTCGCTGAGGGGCGCGAGAGCCGCCTTTTTAGTACACGGGAGGGAGTTCGTGTTGTGGGTTAGTGCTGTGGTTTCGTGGGGGAGTGTTGGCGTTGTTCAAGTTGATTAAAAGAAAGAAGAGAGAGAGAGAGAGAGAGAGAGAGAGAGAGAGAGAGAGAGAGAGAGAAGGAGAGAGAGAGGAGAGAGAGGAGGGAGGAGAGAGAGAGAGAGAGAGAGAGAGAGAGAGAGAGAAGAGAGAAAGAGAGAAAGAGAGAAGAGAGAGAAAGAGAGAGAAAGAGAGAATGGAATGAGAATGGAATGAAAAGAATGAGAACGGAATGAGAGTAGAGAGAGGGAAAGAGAGTGAGAGGGTGAGAGAGAGAGAAGAAAGAGTGGGGAAAGGAGAATGGAGAGGCATGGCAGCGAGTGAGGGAGATGAGAAGCAGTCGTTATCTGAGTGTGTCTTTGTCGTGTGACACATCCGCTGATAAGCCGCGTCCTCACCGTGGCCGACGCCGGGTACTGCGTCGTTCGCTTCTTCTGTCACGTGATGGCTGCTCAGACTTATTTTTGTGTACTATGGCGTGGGCGGGAATAGGGACTAGGCTTTTATATCGCTAAGTATCTCTTACATCTCATTGGTATATATATTTTTAGGATGATTTTCGTGATTGGATCGAGTTAGTGAGTCTTACGTAGTATATATATATATGGCATTTATAACGGTTCATGTTTCTTTTTTGATTATGTCTTGGTAAACCTGATGAACGGTTCATCGCTAATACAAAGGTTTTTATTGCAGTCTGTTTTTTTAATTGTTACTTATTATTTTTTACTGATGCTTAATTGATAGAAGTAATGTCATCACTAGTTATTTAGGGAAGACTATTTCGAAACGGAGAATTGGCCTTGTAGAAATGCACATTTGGAATATAGATCCAACCGTTTACATGGCTCTACGGAAAGGCTGTCGAGTGTCTGGTCCTGGGATTTGAATTATGGCATCTACTGACTCAGGTTTGTGGGACAGGGAGGGAAGGCGAGAAGAAATGAGAGAAAGCGAGAGAAAGAAAAAGAGAGGGGGGAATTTCAAGTTAAGGAGGGAGGAAGAGAATGAGAGTAAGAATGAGGATGAGGTATATATTGGATAAGAAAGTTAAAAAGAAAGGCATGTAGATGTTAAAGACAAATATAAAGAAAGGAATGGAAAAAAAAGGCAAAAGAAAAAAAAAAGAATGGAGAGACTAAACACAAAAGGAAAGAAATGAAGGAAAAGGAAATAAAAGTATCGGTTTTCGCTATTCCAATATTCCCTTCGTCTCCTCGCCTCGTTCCTATGGCTGGCTTCGGGAAAACCGGGATCCGTAGGTGGTGCTTCACAGGCCGCACAGGACGCGCTCTCCTCCGGTCACCCTGGGGGCGGGGTCGGGAGGGGGGACCTGCCTACCTACAGACAGACAGACAGACAGACAGATAGATAGATAGATAGATAGATAGATAGATAGATAGATAGATAGACAGACAGACAGACAGACAGACAGACAGACAGACAGACAGAGACAGACAGAAGACAGAGATAGATAGATAGATAGATAGATAGATAGATAGGACAGACAGACAGACACAGAAAGACAGACGGAAAGACAGACAGACAGACTGATATTGGGGGTACATTTTGATGTTTTTGTCACACACGATCTAACCAGATTTCAAACCGGAGCTCGTTCGCAGAAGACGGCGGCAGTGCGAGTGCGCGTTCATCCCGGCGGGCGGCGCGAATGTCACGGATCCACGTATTTCTCTCTCCGTCAGCTATCCGTTCCTGCTCGGAGTGACATCACGACCGAGGCGGATGTGAGCCAGATGTGGGGGAGTGAGGGAGTGAGGGAGAGGGAGTGAGAGTGAAGGAGTGAGGGTGAGGGAGTGAGAGTGAGGGAGTGAGGGTGAGGGAGTGAGGGTGAGGGAGTGAGGGTGAGGGAGTGAGAGTGAAGGAGTGAGGGAGAGAGGGAGTGAGGGAGGTGGTGAGGAGTGAGGTGAGGAGGGAGTGAGGGTGAGGGAGAGGGTGAGAGTGAGTGAAGGAGTGAGTGAGGGAAGGGTGAGGGAGTGGTGAGGAGAGTGAGAAAGGAGAGTGAGAGGGTGAGGGAGTGAGAGTGAGGAGTGAGGTGAGGGAGTGAGGGAGAGGGTGAGGGTGAGGGAGAGAAGGTGAGGTGAGAGGGGAGGGAGGGTGAGGGAGAGGAGAGAGATGGGAGAGGGGAAGGAAGAGGTGGCAAGCAGTTGGAGAGGGAGAAGGGGAGGAGGAGAGAATGAAAGCAAGGACCGAAGGAGAGAGGCAGAGAGCAGAAGACAAGACAGACAGACAGAAGACAGACAGACAGAGAAACAGACAGACAGACAGACAGAGACACAGACAGAGACAGACAGCAGCCAGAGCAGCAGCGAGGGCAGACGCTCCGTGCGCCCGCCTCGCCGTCGTTTTTCATCCTTCTCGCCGCGGTTCGAATCCCCGAGTTCCTTCCACGGCGTTTTGTCTCCGTCATGCCCTCGATCCGCGAGATGCCGCGGGACGTCACGATTTCTTTGTTTTTCTTGTTTTCTGCTTTGTTTCTTTGTTTTTCTTGTTCTCTGCTTTATTTCTTTGTTTTTTTTCTGTCTGGGGGTCTTTTTTTATTTATTTTTTGTCAGGTGATGTGATTATATTTTTCGGAATGGCATCGTCACTGTAATAATTTTTGATGTGGTTGTTATTGCTACTGCTGTTATTATGGATTGTTTTGGTAGTTACTCTTGCCCTTGGTTGTATTAATATTGCTGTTATTGTTGTTGTTGTTGTCTTTGTTATCTCTCGTGGTGTTGGATTTTTTATTTATTCAGTATTTGTTTTCCAACCGCGTGCGGCACATTTTGAAATAATTAACTGGCATAAGCAAAAACAAACAAACAAAGGTGTCGCTGTTCGGTTCAAGGACACGAGCGAAAGCGAAGTGAAGTGACGTGAAGCGAGCGCGAAGCGAGTGCGCGCCGGAGCCCTCCTCTCTCCGCGAGATCGACTGCGTGTGAGGATAGCGCATGAGGGGGGTAGGGGGTGGAGGGGGTGGGTGGGGGGCGGGTATTTTTTTTTTTTTTTTTTTTTGAAGTAGTGGGGTGAGTTTTTTTTTTTTGGGGGGGAGGGGAATGGAGGTAAGAAAAAAAAATTGCTAATCAAAAGGAGAAGAAGTAAGAAAGGAGGATGGGGATAGGGATGAGATGAGGTATTGGAGAAGAAGAATAGAAGAGGAGGGAAGAAGGAAGAAAGAAGAAGAAAAAGAAAGAAAGAGAAGAAGAAGAAGAGAAGGAGAACCAGTTGTTTTCAACCATCGAGTCGGAGATGTTTCCCCTGGCGCGTGCCTTTAGTTGCTTTCCCCACCCACACCACCCACCCACCCCTGTTGTTAGTCAGGGGATGAAAAGGAAGACTGGTCGGTGAGTAGAACCTGTATGCGCTGGTTCCACCGCACTCGGCGGGCGTTCTCCAGCCATGACCACCGCGTGGCGACGGTGACTCATGCTGTCCTCTGCTCTCCCTTCCGCCTCTTCCTCCCTTTCCTCTTCCTCATTCTCTTTGTTCCCTCGCTTTCCTTTGCCTCTTTCTCTTCTTTCCTCTCTCTCCTCTTCTTCGTCCCCTGTCGTCGTCGTCGTCGTCGTCGTCGTCGTCGTCGTCGTCGTCGTCGTCGCGTCGTCGTCGTCCTCCTCCTCCTCCTCCTCCTCCTCCTCCTCCTCCTCCTCCTCCTCCTCCTCCTCCCCTCCTCTTTTCTTCCTCATTAGAAAGGATGAGGGGGGTAATGAGAGGAATTAAAGATAGAACAAAGTGAGATTGAATGCTGAAGAAAGTAAGAAATAGAAATTAGAAAAAGACAAACTAATTTTCCTCCCTGTGCTTCCATCTGTCCCGCTTCACGCAGCAACAAACGCCGCCCAAATTCTGTGTTCACGATTCTGTTAAACCGAATTTTGCCGAGTGTGTGTTCACCCCCCCCCCCACCCCTCTCCCCCTTCGGATGAACGTCTCGCGTTGTGCCGACTCATTGTGGTGTACATTGTATAATTCTCTAGGTTTTTGTCTATTGGGAAACGCAGGTCGTTTTGAGTTGCGTGACCTGCTTGGAATGGAAGCAGGGGCGTTGCGGGACCTGCTCGGTGTTAAAGCAGGGCAGGTGGGTGCCGTGTTGGTGCCAGCTGACGTGAGGGTCGCTGGTGCCATGCTTACCTGTTGATTGGAGTGCCGATGGATAGGTTCTTGTGCCTGGATGGTATGGCGATGGTGCCAAGTTTACGTGGGCATAGTGGTGCCAAGTTTGTACCTGTAGATGCGTTTGATGCTTCTGATTAGGAGCTTATGCCAAGCTTACATGATAGTGATGCCAGGTTTTCCTGGAAGTTAATGGTGCCATGCATGTCTAGGAGTTAATGGTGCCAAATATATCTAGGTGTTCATAGTGCCAGATATGTCTAGGATTTAATGGTGCCAGATATATCTAGGATTTAATGGTGCCAGACTTACCTGGGAGACGATGGTGCCAGGCCTCGCAGCAGACATGCAAAGGTGCCAACCATGAGCCCAGACAGACGGCCAGTAAATAATATAATAACATGACTATCGACCAGAACAAGGTGGCGGGTGGCTGAGCAGACGGCTGGATGAGGGATGGGGAGGGAAGGGGAAGGAAGGAGGGAGGAGAGAAGGGAAGGAGAGAGGAGAGAGTGAAGGGAGAAGGAAGGAGGGAGGAGAGAAGGGAAGGAGAGAGGAGAGGAGAGGAGAGAGGAAGGGAAGAGGAGAGGGAGAGAAGAAGGAAGGAAAGGAGGAGAAATGGAAGGAGCGGAAGGGAAAGGAGAGAAGGAATGAAGGAGAGGAAGTAAAGGCGAGAAAGGAAGGAGAGAGGAGAATGAAGGAGAATGAAGGGAAGGAACGAAGGAAGAAGAGAGGGGGAGGAGGTAAGCAAAGAAAAGTTAGAGAAGGTGAAGAGAAGGATAGGAAGGAA